GGCTTCTCTCCAGTGTGAGTCCTTTCATGGATCCGAATGGAACTGGAACAGCTGAAGGCTTTCCCACACTGCTTACATTCATAGGGCTTCTCTCCGGTGTGGGTCCTTTCATGCATTCGAAAGGAACTGGAACAACTGAAGGCTTTCCCACACTGTTTGCATTCATAAGGTTTCTCTCCAGTGTGCGTTCTTTCATGCATTCGAAATGAACTGGAAAAGCTGAAGGCTTTCCCACACTGTTTACATTCATAGGGTTTCTCTCCAGTGTGAATTCTTTCATGCATTCGAAAAGAGCTAGAACAACTGAAGGCTTTGCCACACTGTTTACACTCGTAGGGCTTCTCTCCAGTGTGAGTTCTTTCATGGATTCGAACAGAACTTGAACAACTGAAAGCCTTACCACACTGTTTACATTCATGAGGTTTCTCACCGGTGTGAGTCCTTTCATGCATTCTAAAAGAACTGGAGCAACTGAAGGCTTTCCCACATTGCTTACACTCATAGGGCTTCTCTCCAGTGTGAGTTCTCTCATGAATCTGAAATGAACTAGGACAATCAAAGGCTTTGCCACATTCCTTACACTTATAAGGACCATTTCCAGTATGCATAATCATGTGTCTTCTGTAGCTTGGAAGAGAAATGAATGCTTTCCCACATTCCTTGCAATCATAAGGTTTCTCCCCAGTATGAATCCTTTCATGCTTTCGAAAGGAACTAGGAAAACTGAAGGCTTTGCCACATTTTCTACATTTATAAGGTTTTTCACCGGTATGAATCCTTTCATGACTTCTAAAAGATGTCGGACAACTAAGAGCTTTACCACATTGCTTACACTGATAGGGTTTTTCTCCAGTGTGAGTCCTTTCATGTATTTGAAAAGTCTGGTAATATCTGAAGGCTTTTCCACACTGTTTACATTCATAGGGCTTCTCTCCAGAGTGAGTTCTTTCATGGTTTCGAAATGAACTTGGATGACTAAAAGTTTTCCCACATTCTTTACATTTGTATGGTTTCTCTCCTGTGTGCATTCTCATGTGTCCTCGAAAGGTTGTGTGATAAATGAAGGCTTTGCCACACTCCTTACATTCATATGGTTTCTCTCCAGTGTGAGTCCTTTCATGGATCTGGAAGGAACTGGGCCAACTGAAAGCTTTCCCACATTCCTTACATTTATAGGGTTTCTCTCCAGTGTGAGTCCTTTCATGTATTCGAAATGAACTTCGAAAGCTGAATGTTTTCCCACATTCCTTACATTCATACAACTTTTCCCCATATTTGTGGCACTCATAAGGTTTGCATCCATTATGAGATTTCATGTGCCTATTAAGAGATGAGTGACACATATAGACTTTTCCACACACATTACACTCATAGGGTTTTGCTGCAGGAAGAGTTTTCTTATTCTGTTTAATATCTGGCATCTGGCTGACAGTTTCCCTAAACTGATCTTCTTTCTTTTCACCAAGTCTCTCTTCTACATGATCTCTGTAAAATATGAGAAATGCATTATTAGCAGCTTTTTTATCAATGACTTTACAATTACTAATGATTATTAAATATTTCACAATTACTAATAGGTAACAGAATTATACTTTTACTCTTTTCTTAAAGCAAGTATGTAAATGAATGCTCTGGATGAGTGTCTGACCACTGCTATTAACAAAACAGTGATAGTTGCAATATGCAGTTTCTTAATATTCTTTAGAAGTGAATTATTTTTCAAATACTGAATAAATGTGATTTAAAAAATTATCAATGAAAATTTTTATAGAAATACATAAATATGAAATTGGATTGGTTTTGTTTACTTGCTTTTTAAAATTTCATGACACACTAAGATTTTCTCATGGGACACTACTTGTTTTGTACATCAAACTCACCTTAGATTTCTCCCCCGGTTTTTATGCTGATCTTCAATGTTGTGGTCGTCCCAATTTTCCTCTAAAATACAAACCCAGAAAAGTCATTTCAGAGTGATATGAAAGTATGGAAAGATTTGAGTCTATGTCGGTCATGAGCCGATAGCCTGACAACTTTACATACTAAGGTATGCCCTTTCCATGATGTAAATATTAGAACCTCATTGATGAGCAAAACATGTTTGTTCTCTAATTGACTGAGTATGACAATGATTTTGTTCTTACCTATAGAAGCCAAGTTAATGAATGTTTCCTGCATCACATCTCTGTAGAGCTCCTTCTGGGAAAGGTCCAGCAAAGCCCACTCCTCCTGGGTGAAATTCACAGCCACATCCTCAAAGGCCACTGAGTCCTAAAACATCACACATATATACAAGTAGAGGAAGGTAGGTCAAACTGATAAAACTTGGGACCTACATTCAACCCATTAAGAAATTCACATGTGATTCTATGGTCTGCAGATATTTATGGTCTAACTTGGTCATCAGAAATCTTTTTGTATGTTTTGAAAAACTTTTTCTTTTCTTTTCCCTTTGCAAGTGACTCTGTAGAGAATATCCCCGAATCTCTCTAATGGTTTAAGATCCTGCAGCATCTGTATATCATGGGGTTGCAAATTGGTTCCCATCCCATCAGCCTGCAGTTAGAGCTAAGCAGGTGCAGCTAAGCAGGTGATCTATAAAGATCAGACAAGCTGTATTTGTCGAACTTTCAAATCATCTCATGATATTGCATTGTATTCTTTTTTTTTTTTTTTTGTCTTTTTGAGACAAGATCTCACTATGCAGTTCTGGCTGGCTGTGAGCTCACTTTATAGCCCAGCCTGTTCTTGAACTCACAACGATCCTCTTGCCTAAGCCTCCAAAGGATTATAAGTGTGCACCACCATGCCTGGCTGTATTCTTCTTCTTATCATTTCCTTTTCATTAAAAAAGTGGAAGGTTATATACCTTTTTTAAAAAAGAAAACACAAAAGTATATAACTTGCCACAAATTGGATAGAACTGGAAGATATTAAGTGAAATAATCCACACAGAAATAGACCAGTACCACACACTCATTCTCGTATGTGGAAGCTCAAAATTGTCCTGAATGTAGAACAGTGATTACCAGAGGTTAGAAAGGTGTGGGTGGATGTGGGGGGAGGGAGAGGTGGATAAAGTGAGGCTGGATTTGATCAGTGTATGTATATGTTGAAATATCACATTAAACCCTATGACTATGGACAACTGACACATTAATCAAAAATACATCTTTATGTCTGGTGGACTGAGCAACTTCATTGAAGATAACAGTATGCAATACAATAAGCATTGTTAATTCCTATCATTTTGCTTTGAGGTCATGTATCATTTTTGTTACTTCTGTGTTGTTTTGATTTTGTCTTCATTTTTTGTTAGTTTTTTTAACTTTTAAAATAAAAGAGAAAATAATACATTTTTATAGATCTGAGGACCAGTGGAACAGATTAGAAGATGTGGACACAACTACAAACACACTCAGCCACATTATCTTTGACAAAGGGGCCAAACATGTTCACTGGAAGAAAGATAGCCTCTTTAATAAATGGTGCCGGGAAAACTGGCTCTCTACATGCCAAACACTAAAACTAGACCCATGTCCATCACCACGCACTAAAGTCAAAATGGATCAAAGATTTAAATATTAAAGCAGAAACACTAAATCTACTGGAAAAGAAAGTAAGTCAAAGTCTTAAAGACATAGGGGTAGGCACAGTCTTCATGAACAAAACTCAAACTGCATGGGAAACACTTCAAAGAATCAACAGTTGGGATCTCATCCTATTAAAAAGCTCTTGTACTTCAAAAGAAATCACCAATAGAGTGAAAAGACAACACAAAGAGTGGGAAAACATTTTAGCTAACTGTCCCTCAGACAAAGGACTTACATCTAGAACATATAAAGAATTGAAAAAACTCAGAACCCCCAAATTCAAAGACCCAGTCCAAAACTGGGCATCTGAGATGAATACACACTTCTCAGATAAAGAAATACAAATGGCAAGTAAATACATGAAAAAATGTTCAACATCATTGGTCTTTCAAGAAATGCAAATTAAAACAACACTGAGATTTCATCTCACCCCAGTAAGAATGGCTACTATCAAGAAATCAACCAACAACAAATGCTGGAGGAGCTGTGGGGAAAAAGGAACTCTTCTCCACTGTTGGCAATGTAGACTGGTGCAACCACTTTGGAAATCAGTTTGGAAATTCCTCAAAAAATTAGGATTAGAGGTCTCATTTTACCCAGCTATTCCCCTTCTGGGCACTTTCCCAGAATAATTATAAACACCACACCACAGCAATATATGTGCACCCATGTTTACAACAGAACAATTTGTCACAGCAAATCTTGGAAACAACCAAAATGCCCATCAACTGAGGAGTGGATAAGAAAAATGTGGTATTTTTATACAATGGAGTACTACTCAGCTATAAATAAAGATAAACTCGAGGCTTTTATAGGTAAATAGATGCAACTAGAGACCATACTTATGAATGAAATAAATCAGACCAGCATGTATTGTCTCCCTAGTGTAAGAACCTGAAAGAGTAAAAAAAAACCTGGAAGGTACAATAGATATTGTGAAAGAAAAAAAATTGCTCAATAGGAAAGAATAACTGGGATGAGGGAAAGAAGATAGGAAAAAAAGGAAGGGAAATATATATATACACAAGATAGCTAAGATAATTGTACTACTGTTACGGCAAAAATTCAGGCTGTATTCCGCAAGAGACCAAAGAGAACAGACAAAGTTTTTAATTTAGACCGGTCACCTCTCATCCCGACTTGCAAATCCGGGAAGTGGGCGTGGACCTGTCTTTGTTCCCAGGTTATATACATTTTTGGTTTCCATGGTAACAGAAAGGCATGTTGTAGCCCTGGCCACATGTTGTTTTCCTTGTGCCATGTAACCAGGTCAGGCTCCGGTCATGAGCCCAACCACAATGATATATACTTTCTGTACTCTGTTCTATATGTCCCCCTTTAGATAACCATACATTTGCTTTATGGTTACAATGTTTACCTAGGGCCAGGAGATGGAACTGCCCAGGCAGGGTCATGGAGGGTTAACTAGGCCTAGGCACCCCCTTATCTTAGGGAGACATTCCTGGGCAGTGTTGATCGGGGGAATTAGCTCTTACACTGTCCCAGGAGGCTTCCCAAGGCACCATGGAGGCTTTTACCAAAACTATTTTATCCAAAATAATATGCTAAGATTCATTGCCCCCTACACTACTAATTTCTACTGGTTTATTGAAAGGAACAGTTAACATTTAATTGTTTGATCAATCTTGTATACCTATATCTGGTAATCTCAGCAACTACTTTGAAGATAATAATAAATAATATAACAACCATTGTTGATTTCCTATCATCTTGTTTTGAAACTGTATCATTTTTATAGTTTTTGTGTTGTTTTTTGTCATTTTTGTTATTTTTTGTTCTTTTCTCTTTAAAATTAAAAAAAACTTTTTTAATTTTTTAAAATACTTTTTTTTTTTTTTTTTGCCAGGTGTGATAGTGCATGCTAGTATAATCCCAGCACTTGGGAGGCTGAAGCAGGAGGATTGTTGTGAGTTTGAGGCCAGCCTGGGCTACAAAGTGAGCTCAAGGCCAGCCTGAACTGCATAACAAGACCCGGTCTCAAAAAGACAAAAAAAAAAAACAAAACACTTTTTTTTTCCAAAAAAAAAAAAAAAAAAAAAAAAAAAACAAAACACTTTTTTAATTGAGAAAGAAATGTTTCTCTGTCTATATTCATTTTCTCACAGATATAATACCTGAATAGAAGGAAATTATTCCTACATTTTTATTGTGATCACTTCAAATCTTACCGCAGTCCAATGACAGGTACACAGCATCTCAGAGAATTCTATACAACTTGAACAAATACTTCTATTTGGAGATGAGCAACTACTTCTCAGAAAAATTTTCAGCTCCTGCATCATTATATACCATATCACTAAGCATTCAAAAAAACAGAGGTAAGTCTGTATGAGATCTTAATCTATAAATATATACTAAAGAACTGTACACATTTTCTTCATTCCCCTAGTTATATGTGTGAGCCTATGGAAGACCAACTTCCAGCAGACTACGTTTTCTAAAAGGACTGCACATCCTTAGAAGTAGAGTAAACTGAGTCAAAATATTCTTTGAAAGAAGTATTCATTTTAACTTGTGTAGGTATGTATCACAGACTCAGTCGCTGTTTTTGTTCCTGTCCCATCTGACACAGGTAGGGAGTTACAGAGAAGGTAGAGGACAAGCACGAGGAAGAAGGCATAGGAGCTCTGCAGGATCTCTGTACTCACAAGCTTCAGGACTGCTTCCTTCCAAAGTGCAGCACATATAAGACTGATATTAAGGTACCAGAAGGCCAGGGACGTAGCTTAGGGGTACAAGCGCCTGCCTGGCAAGCACAAGGTTCGGAGTTCGATTCCCGGTACCCCAAATAAATAAATAAATGAATAAATAAAATAAACCTGGGAAGAAGAATCTGTGAGGTTCTCTAGAATAATCCTTTGGGCCGGGGATACAGCTCAGCGGCACAAGCGCCTGCCTGGCAAGCACAAGGTCCTGAGTTCCATTCCCAGTACCTAAAATAAAAAAAATTTTTTATAAAGGTACCAGAGCAGTTCTTTCCTTAAGACTTTTTGTTGGGAGCTGCTGAAGCTGGAAAATAATTACACGTGCAGGATGAAGCCAGCCTGAAAACACAAAGTGCTGTAACTTGTTAACTGATTGCTGGGTAGCGAGGTGGAAATTAACCAGCTTCTTGAGGGTATAAATAAATGCCCCTACTGTTGACGTCAGTCCTCTTGCTCATCAGGCAAGAGGTAACTCCACCTGACCCTGGCTGTTGCCTCTTTTCTTTATTTTCTAAATCCTCTCGCCATTTTCTCCCGGGGACCACCGAGAGACCACCGAGCCCCACAACTCTTGGCTGACTTTCAGGAATGGGTCATGAATGACACTTTGCAAGGAAGTTCATGAATACCCACAGCTGTCTGATGGTGAATGATGGAGTTTGGACCATCAAACTCCATCTCCCAAAGGCCCACGTGTTGAAGTCTTGGTGCCCACTGCGTGGCACTCCTTGGAGGTAACAGAACCTATAGAAGACGGTACCTGGTAGAAAGAAGTTAGGTCACTGGGGGCACGCCCTTGAAAGGGATACTGCAGCCTCAGACCCTCCTGTTTCTCTCAGCTTCTGGGCACTATGAGGTGAGCGGGCCTCTTCTTCCACGCACTTCCACCGTGATGTACAGTGTCTCTACAGGACCAAAGCATCAGGGCCAAGCAACCATGGACTGAAACTGGCAGCCAAAATAACTATTTCCTCCGTAAGTTGGTTATCTCAGGTATTTTATCCTAGCAACAGAAAGCTAACATAGTGAATTTGCCCATAGTTACAGAATACGTAAGTTCAGCAGAGCTGTCCTCCAAAAGACATGAATCCCCTCTCCCTAAACTCAGGAGGAAGCGACTGTCCAACAGGCACTCTGGAGGCTGATCTGCTGTCTCCGATTCCAGCCCCCACAAAGTAAACACACAAGCCCAAGGGCACACAGAAGTCCCTAAGCTGTGTAATTCCCCTAAATACTGATCTCTGAAACAGACCATTAACTTATTGATGTCCATGTTAAAGGGACAGAGAAAAACTTACCAGGGACCAATTCTGACACCAAAATGTACCTATTTGGTAAAGTAACAACCAACTATCCACATCCCACTTGATGGTGGGACTAGGGAGTAAAATGAGCTGCTCAGTTCAACCCTAACTACTCCCTGTACCACTGAGCTGCGTAATTTGCACTAAGGAAGTCCTACTACCTACTGCACAGAAGAGAACTAACACGAGCAGGCCCGAGAGGGTTTCTCTTTACTAACACCTGCTTGCAAAGCTCACCCATCACTGCTATCTGTGAGTGACAGCTTCCGAAAGACCTCACCAACGTAAGTGATAAGTGTGGCACAGGACAGAAAAAGGAGCAACAGGGTGGGACGGCACAGGCCTGAAGTCTGAGCCTTCTGGGAAGCTGAGGCAGGAGGATCGCAAGTTTAAGCCCAGTCTGGGTAACCCAGTGAAACCCCGTCTCAAAAAACAATGATTTTAAAGAGCTGGGCATGTAGCTTAGTGAGAAGGCCCTGGTTTTGAGTCCTAGTACCCCCACCAAAAATAAAGTAACAACACAACAAAACCTACAAAGGATATGAGGACTAGGGGTGTGGCTCAGTGGTAGAGCATTTACCTACCATGCACAAGGCTATGGCTGTGTCCAAATGTCTCCCACAAAAGCCTCATGCAGTCATAGGTGGTGCTTTTTCAGAGGGGGCTGGGTGTACAGTGTGTGAAACTGAGACTGATTCATGCTCCCTGTCCTAAGTAGCCTGCGTAAGATAAAAGGGTAGGAAGATGCTGTAAAGGCCCCTTGTTGTTTTGCTGTCTTCTGCCTGCAATGAACTGTTTCTCCTTTAAGATGCTTCTCTGCCTTAAAGCCAGCCAACTATGGACTGAAACTTTTGTGAACTGTAAACAAAATAAACCTTTCTTCCTTTAACTCTGAGTGTCAGGTATTTTGTCTCAGCAATGAGAAAAGTACCTAAGACAGAGGTAAACCTGGCACCTCCCCTCGGCCTGACCCTAGTGCTCCATTCTTCACACACTGGCTTCTCCAGAACTGTAAGGTAAACAAACTTGCACTTTTTTGAGAAAGGGTGTCACTATGCAATCCAGAATGGCCTTCAACTTGTAGTGATCCTCCTGCCTCAGCTTCCCCAGCACTAAAATTACAGGTTACGCTACCATCTCTGGTTTATTTTCTTTATTTTGGGACACGGTCTTGCTAAGTTGCTCAGACTGGCCTCAAACTTGTAGTCCTCCTGCCTCAGCCTCTGGGTAGCTGGGATTATGGGTAGGGACCACCATGCCTGGCCAAACCGTGAGTGTGAAGTCATGTATTTGATCCCCTGGTTTTAACCTCTAATGAAAGAGGAGAAGGATAAGAAAATGAGGACAAAGTGACACAGTCATTTACAGGCTAAGGCAGTGATGGCGAACCTTTCAGAGCTTTCAATGACACAAAGAGCCTGCTGGCATGCGTGACATCCATTCACCACCACTGTGCTAGTGGAGACAGTGGAAATTTGTGAGAAGGGACAGGAGTATAAGCAGAAAATGGAGCCACTAAGAAAGAATCACAAAGGAAGGCTAGGGAAAAACAACTTTATGGGGCTGGGGATTTAGCTCAGCAGCACAGCACCTGTCTGGCAAGCGCAAGGTCATGAGTTCGATTCCCAGTACTGGAAAAAAAAACCAAAAAAAAGGAAAAATGAAAAACAACTTTAACAGAAATAAAGAATGCCTTTGAGCCGGGCATGGTGGCGCACGCCTGTAATCCCAGCACTGGGGTGGCCGAGGCAGGAGGATCGTTGCAAGTCGAGACCAGCCTGGGCTACAAAGTTAGCTCAAGGCCAGCCTGAACCGAATAACGAGACCCTGTCTCAGAAAGACAAAAAAAAAAAAAAAATGCCTTTGAGCTAGACACAGTGGTGCTTGTCTGCATCCCAGCACTGGGGAGAAACAAGAGGATCGCTGTGAGCTTGAGGTCAGCCTGGACTACTTTTTAAAGATGCTGTCTTTAAAAAAAAAGTAGCAATGTCCACGGAAAGAATCAGTAACCTTTGGAGAAAAATCATAACCTTCCATAATTAAAATATAAAAAGAGAAAAGAATATAAAAGAACAAAATATCTATTATACTCTAAGTATTACAAAAAGTATCACATACATATAATGGAACTATACCAAAGAAAAGAAAGGAACAGAGTAACTGAAACAATGCCTGAAATTTTCCTCCCAATAACAACACCAACCAGATCCAGAAAGCTCAAGAGAATACTAAGTGGGGTAAATATCAAAAAACACATGTCGGGCCTGGGATACAGCTCAGTGGCACAGTGCTTGCCTGGCAAGTACAAGGTCCTGAGTTCAATTCCTGCTACAAAAAAAAAAAAGAGAGAGCATCTGTAGACTCTAGAATGCATTCTAACAAAAAACACATGTAGCCGGGCATGGTGGCACATATCTATAATCCCAGCATTCAGGAGGTTGAGGCAGGAGGCTCACCATGAGTTCAAGGCCAGCCTAAACTATATGGGAGACCCTGTCTTTCAAAAAAATATATAGATATAGATATAGATATAGATATCATTTTAAAAGGAGAAAGAAGATCTGTCATCTCAAGTACTCAGGACACTGAGGCAAGAGGGTTGCAAGTTTGAGATCAGCCTGGGCAACTTGCCAAGATCCTATCTCAAAATAAAAACTGAAAAAAGAAGAAGATGAAGAAAAAGGAAAAAAGAAGATGACGAGGAGGAGGAGAAAGAAAACCAGAGGGAGAAAGAGAACAAGAACAAAAAGAAGAACAAGAAGAGCAGAAGGAGCTGAAAATACAGGTGAGTTGTAGAGTGCTTGCCTAGTACTATATGTGAAGTCCCAGGTTCAAGTCCCAGTACCACAAATAATAAAAAGATCCATCAGGCAGAAAACCAAGAAGGATATAATTGAACTAAACAGCACCATCAAAGAAATGGGTGTCGTGGAAACCCATAGAATACATCTGACTATGGCAATATCCTTCTCAAGTTCATGTGAAACATTCACCGTGATACGTGACATTGTGGGACAAAAAGAGTCTTAACAAAATAGAAAGAACAGAAATCACACAAAATATGCTCTGTTACTGCAGTGGCATCCATTTAGCAATCAATAGCAGGAAGACAGCTAGAAAGTCCCCAAACACTTGGAAATTAAATGACACATAGCTGAAAAGAGAAATTTCAAGAGCAATGAAAAATTACTTCAGAAAGAAGGGGAAAGAAAGAGAGGGAGGGAGGGAGAGAGGAAAAAGCATAAAGAATAGAATGAAGGGCCGGTTGTGGTGGCGCACGCCTGTAATCCCAGCACTCAGGAGGCTGAGGCAGGTGGATCCTTGCGAGTACAAGACCAGCCTGGGTTACAAAGAGAGCTCAAGGGCAGCCTGAGTTGCAGAGCGAGACCCTGTCTCAAAAAGACAAAAAACAAACAAAGAAAAAAAACCATGCATAGGTACAAATCCCTTTGATAAATGTTATCATTATGCATCTCTAAAATATACCAGTAGCCAGGCATGGTGTTGCATGCGTGTAATTCCAGCTCTCAGGAGGCTGGGGCAGGATGATCACCTAGGCTACATAGTGAGTTCAAGGTCAGCCTGAACTGCTCAGCGAGAACCAGTCTCAAAAAAAAAAGAAGACAACATAGGGAAAAACATCCATGTGATCTTGGATTTACCTACTGCAAGCTTTTAGATATCACTTAAGATCCGTAAAGAAAAAAAAGTATAACTAAAGTGAAAAACTCTTGCTCTATGAAGATTTTATGTTAAGAATAAAATAAGAACCTAAAAGGTTTTGTTGTGGATGCTGAGAGGGGCAGCAGGATGAATTGTATTCTTTAAGCAAAGCGTGAAGGTCTCTCACACAGGCACTTGTGTAAGTTCCCCCAACCCTGCCCCAGAATTTGTATGTCCCGACTGAATGTTCCTAGAGGAAGATTTTGTTCATGACATGCCACGCATTACTGTGCTCCTGGAGGGGAAAGGTGGATGGTGTTAAACAGGAAGGCAGTAAACCAGGGAGGGGTAGAACTGGCCTGATGCCCTGCTACAAGGGAGGAGCATCCAGGAAAGTTTGCAAAGCACAACTTTGATCCAGAGGAATTTCCCAGGATGCAGCTGCCCGGAGGAATTTCCCAGGATGCAGTTGCCCAGAAAAGGCAATGGAAGCAGAGGCACAAGGATTTTATACCACGAACCTCCAGATGCTTGTTCTTTCCTCTCATAACGTCATCCACAAACAATCTCATCATTTCATTAAGTCCATCTGTGAAGAACGATAATGAAATAGTGCATCTGGCTGAAATGCACCGTGCAGGACAAACAGCTGATAAATGGTGCTTGTCCAACGGAGGAGGAAGCTGTCATTTGGGGACGTGGGATGGGGTCCAGAAATCTAGGGATCACTGCCAGCCCCCGAGGGGCGAGCTAGGACGCAGGGCTGTGGATCTGAGACCCTGCCTCCCATACATCTGTAAACTACAGGGGAAAGGGGCGACCCCTGCAGGGCAAGGAAGCAGTGGGGTCCCCACAGACCACAGCTCCTGCCACGCAGGAACTGCACCCCCAAATCGGGGTCCCCGTGACTCCCGCGGTCCCGCTGCCGTCCCCGCCCCGCCCATGGCCAGAGGGGAGCGAGGCCAAGCTACGCCCGGGACTCGGCCTGCTCCAACCAGACCCTGCACCCTCGTCTCTCCCGCACTCACCATCTCCCGGCTTCCTCCCCGCGCCTTCTGCGGCCCTCGAAGTCCCAGCGCCACCTGTGGTCCTCCAGCGAAAGCGAGATGCTAAGGGAAGAGCGGCCAAAGCATAGCGTGCTCCACACCGCCAGGCGCCGTGTCGTCCCGCCCTCACCTTTCCGGCGACGCCTCTGATTGGGCATCTTATTCGGACACGCCCCCTATCTTCTCCTGAGTGACAGCGGAGACGGAAGACGCTTCCTGAGCCCGCTCTAATATAGCCGGCACTGGGAATGCAGCTGCCGGGGGTGTTGGCGTTACAGGAGAACTTACTCTGTCTGCACCGAGCGTTGGTGTCACAAGAACTGGGTGTTGGTATCTGCCCGTAGCTTCTTCTGAATGCCGGTGCACAGGTGTGCGCAGGCAATTCCTGATTCAGTTTCTACAAGAGACATCCAGACCACAAAGGGGAGAGTCACATGTCCACCTGGGCTTGAGTACGGCTGCGCCTCTTCATTACAAATACTAAAAAGCCCCCTCTACATGGCTAACGAAAATCTGGTCCCACTGATCTTTTTTTTTTTTTTTTTTTTTTTTTGGTCCCACTGATCTTTGACCATTGATAGAGCTGTGTCTCCCATCCAACACTTTCTCCCTGTTCAAGGCCTCTATGCCTGGCACTGGAGCTGTCTGTGGTGATTGAACCTCGTCTAACCTAGGCGCAGAAAATTATCTCAGCTAAGAAGTATGTTCATGAACATACTTAACTGTTTTTAACTGTATGGTTTAGTAGTGTTAACTACATTGACCTGTGACACCATCTCTACTGTAGAACTATTTTCATCTTGCAAAAGATAAAACCCTGAAAGAAAAGGCTGGGAATGGTGGTGCACACCTGTAATTCCATCACTGGGGAGGCTGAGGCAGGAAGATTGCCCAGAGTTTGAAGCCAGCCTAGGCTACATAGGGAGTTTAAGGCTATTGGGTTAATAATATCTCTTAGTTACTTCGGGCTGATCAGGTCCACAATCTCCTGAAGGAATGTACAGCAAAGGCTAAATAAGGCTAAATAAAAAGAGGCAAATGGAATGATTTCAGGGATCCAGGAGGATCAAAGCCCTCTCACAGAATTCAAGATTCTCTCAGGGCTAAGACCAAGACCTTCTTTAGGTGGCCCATATTTATTTAGTCATCAAGAGAAGGGAAGGGAGTGCTCAGGAAAGGCATAATTAGTCATAAGTATTAAATTAATCCTTAATAAGGATTAAGTTCATCCACCCAGGATTGAGATGCCTGAGGCTATAGTTTTTATCTAGTTGAGATCAGATCCAGGTGTCCTTGACTGTGATCGTGTTTTATCCTTTGAGGCTTTCCGGCTTCATCCGCCACTACAGGCTTAGTAGGGATTAATGACTCACAGAGGTTCACTTATTATGAGTCCACCATTTCCAGACAAGGAGCCTAGGCCTTGGACAGATTCAAGTGAATATGAAAAGCCGGGCCTGGGGATTTAGCTCAGTGGCACGGCGCCTGCCTGGCAAGCACAAGGTCCCGAGTTCTATTCCCGATACTGGAAGAAAAACAAAGACAAAAAAAAGCCAAGTGATTAAGTCCTGCTCGGGGCTGCTTTGTAGTGGTCTCCAGCACAAGGCCAACCTGACCTACATAAGATCCTGTCTCTAACTAAATAAATAATAAAGCCTTCTGCCCATTAAACACTAACTTCCCAATTTCTCCTCCTGGCAAACATAATTCTACTTATTTTTTTTAAAGAAAACAAACTTGCTTTTTAACAGGGAATGGGAGGAAGGGTTGTCTGAGCAGATATGGGGTTAGGGTGTCAGAAACACAGTGCCCTTCAGGCTGAGTTCCCTTTGGCCTCTGAGCCTCCTGGAGCCGCCTCTGCAGCCCGCAGACTGGCATCAGGAAAAGTTACCACAGCATGGCTCACAGTGCCCAAAGCAAAGCCACCGGCAAACACCAGCAATTAGGCAGGAGTGGCCACAAGATGTCACAGCAGTGCTTGGCGGGCTCCAGTCCCAGAGCTCCTGTGGTCAGAGCCACCCACGCAGAGCTCAGGAACTCCAGTCTCCACGGCCACTATGCTAAGTCCATCATGGCCACTCTGATTTGTTCTGTTCTGTTTTGTTCTTTGAGACAGGTCTCCTATGCAGTTCAGCCTGGCCTTGAACTCACTATGTAGCCCAGGCTGGCTTCGAACTCTTGGTGGCCCTCCTCCCTCAGCCTCCCAAGTGCTGGGATGACAGACACTCACCACCGCACTTGATCCAGCTGGTATCAGCAAAATTCTACTTTCTATCACTACAGATTTAACTACTGTAGGTCCCTATTTGACTGCTTGCTTCACTCAGAAAAATGTCCCCAAGGCTTGTCATGGTTTGGGTTTTGTTTGCAAGGGAGAACAATACAATACAGGACA